CCAGCTACGTGGAAGGCTGAGGCGGAAGGATCGCTGGAGCCCAGCAGGTCGAGGCTGCGGCGGCCGGGAGTGGCCACCCCACTCCAGTCTGGGCAACAGAGTGAGACTCCAACTCAAAACAAACAAAACAAATGTGGTATTCTATCTTATTCCTACATTTGGTATCTTTTTAGTGATTAAAAGATGTATGTGGTTTTGTGTAATGTAACAAAAGCTATACCAATATTGTTTAATAATTGTTCAGAAATAGTCACATATAATAATAAAACTGTCTGTAGCTGGGTGCGGTGGCGCAAGCCGGTAATCCCAGCACTTTGGGAGGTGGAGGCTAGAGGATTGCCTGAGCTCAGGGGTTGTAGACCAGCCTGAGCAACATGACGAGACCTCGTTTCTACAATAAATAAAAAAATTATCGCGGCGTGGTGGCCCATGTTTGTGGTTCCAGCTACTTGGAAGGTTGGGGCAGAAGAATCACCTGAATCCGGTAGGTCGATGCTGCAGTGGCTGTGAGCGTGCCACTGCACTCCAGCTTGGGCAACAGAGTGAGACTTTGACTCAAAAAAAAAAAAAAAAATGTCAGCCGGCTCGGTGGCTCAGCCTGTAATCCTGCGCCTTTGGGAGGCTGAGGTGAGTGGATTGCCTGAGCCCGCGGGTTGGAGACCCGCCTGGTCAGCAAGACCTCATCTCTACAAAAAATCAGCCGGCCGTGGTAGCGCATGCCTGTAATTCCAGCTACTCGGAAGACTGAGGCGGAAGGATCGCCTGAGCCCAGCAGGTCCAGCCTGCGGTGGCCGGGAGCGGCTACTGCGCTCCAGTCTGGGCGACAGGGTGAGACTCCACCTCAAAAAAAAAAAAATGTCTGTTTTGTACAAGGCATTGTCTAGATGCTGGTACTATAAGGAGGTAAAAGAGTTCCTGCCCTTAAGGACTTTTATAATTTAATCAGAAAGACAGGAGGGAATATAAAAATAATTCTGAGTAAAAAGTGACTTGTAATAAATGCCAAGGAATTAACACAAAGTCTTGTTGGCAGGGAAGTTTTATTGGAAGAAATGGGAATTAATTCTGCTTTAAAGGATTTAGATAAGAGGGAAAAACTATTTTTCCAGGTTAGAGGAACAGCATAAATTCAGGCTAAAGCAGGACAAGGGACAAAGAACAGAGACATTTGACTATAGAGTTTTCTGTGTAGAACTAAAGATGAAATCAGAGCAGTAAATTAGAAGTAGGTTTTTGTTGTTGTTGTTGTTTTGTTTTCTGTTTTTGTTTTTGAGTTGGAGTCTCACTCGGTCGCCCAGACTGGAGTGCAGTGGCCGCTCCCTGCCACCGCCGCCTCGACCTGCTGGGCTCCGGCGATCCTTCGGCCTCAGCCTTCCAAGTAGCTGGAACTACAGGCGTGCGCTACCACACCTGGCTAATTTTTTATTTTTATTGTAGAGATGAGGTCTCGCCAAGTTGCCCAGGCATATCTCGAACCCGCGGGCTCAGGCAATCCACTCACCTCAGCACGGGATTACAGGCTGAGCCACCGAGCCCGGCAGAAGTAGGTTTTAAAGTCCTGACTTTTAGGCTAAGAGGTAAAAACTTGATTTTGTAAGAGGTGAAGTCAGTGAAGGTCTTGACTTTAGTGTAAAGAAACTCTAAATATTAATTTAGCACTATTGTGCAGAATAGATTGGAGGACTGAGTGAGTAAAAATAGGTCTGTTATTAGTTTAATTCAGGAATCCTGGTAAATGTCTTGAGGGTTCTTGTTAGATTGCAGCAATGTAAGTGGAAAGTAAAATTAGACCATAATATATTGCAAAAGAAGACATGAAAGGGTGGAAAGATATAGATGGCCTCAAACTTATCTTTGAGGTTCAGTGATTGCTACAATTGATAGAAATATGAAAGACTCAGAAGATACATGGAGACCAGGTACAATGGCTCACGCCTGTTATCCCAGCATTTTGGAAGACTGAGGCGAGAGGATTGCCTGAGCCCACGGGTTCGAGATCTCCCTGGGCAACTTGGCAAGAGCTCATCTCTACAATAAATAAAAAAAATTAGCCGGGTGTGGTGGTGCATGCCTGTAGTTTCAGCTACTTGGAAGGCTGAGACGGAAGGATCGCCTGAGACAGAAGAATCGCTTGAGACGGAAAAATCTCCTGAGCCCAGCAGGTCCAGGCTGTGGTAGCTGTGAGTGTGCCACTGCACTCTAGCTTGGGTGACAGAGTGAGACTCCAAGTAAAAAAACAAAACAAAGCAAAACATGGTTTGGGAATTAGTTTAATTTTTAAAATGTTGAATTTAAGGTGACAGGAACACATTTGAGTAAAAATGACCAGTAGACTTTTAGAGATGGGGAATGGCATCAAGAGAGATCAGGTAAAAACCTACCAAGGCATGACAGATCAACCTAGGGAAAGAACTAAGGAGTTTGAAGAAAGAAACATTAACATAACTTGGGGACTGGGGAGAAAAGTAGTGATTTAAAAATTTTTTAAATATATGTGTATTCTATTTATTGGAATCTATGTAGATTCTTTATGGTTTATGATCTTAACAAGGTCTAGATTTTTTTTAATAAGTGATGAAGAAAACAGATGCTCTTGTTCATCTTTAATACAAAAGTAATATTTTCATCTTTGTAAGTCTACATTAAATATGATGAATCAATTTGCTTTCTGAATGGAAGAAATATATTAGGCATCTGTGGATTATTGAAACTGCTGTGTTTCTAGACAAATAAAAGGAAAGTTAAAGTTAGTCAACATGTTAGGTTTTGTAAAAGATACCAGTTCCTGTCCCGATGACCTAAAGCATAATACTGTAAGACAACTCTTATGCACCATAAGTGAAAATCTGATTAGAAGGAGACTTTCTGTCAGACAGTATCTCCTGTTCTTTTTTTTTCCTGGTCATATATATAAATATATATAATGTGTATATTATAATAAATGTATATGTGACCAGGAAAATATACTTTAATTAAATTTATTAATTTTTGTTTAGTTTTTAAAATTTAAAGATGTGGGGTACAATTCAGGGTTAGGTATACAAATAGTCGTTGTACAGTTAAAGTTCGGGCCTCACTTTGGTCTCCACATCACCTGGGGTGAGACCAGGTACCCTTATTGATGAAGTGTGCCCCCCTCCCTCCCTGCAGTTTCCCACTACTGCCAATTCCTTTTTTTTTTTTTTTTTTCCT